GAGCGGTGCGGGCAGAGGGAGCAGCCTGAGTAAAGCTCCTGAGGCAGAGAAGTGCTTAGAGGGTTTAGGGACTGAAAGGAGCCTGGCAGGAGGGCCAGGGCGTGGGAGGATGCTGGGGAGGGAAGTGGGGCCCTGGGCACACAGTGTGGACAGGGAGGCGAGGGTTTCTTCCCAGGGCAGCAGGAAACCACTGTACACTTTGGGTGGGGATCACAGTGGTCTGATTTATAGTTTTAAAAGACCACTCAAGCTGTTGTATGGAGAATGGGTGGAAGGGAGGTCACAGTGTATGCTGGATGTGGTGGGTGAGGGAAAAGGAGGACTTTAGGACGGAAGTGAGTCTGGAGCTCAGGACAGAGGTTCAGGCTGGCAAAGAGAATTTGATGCTGTATTTCCTGTTGGCTCCCTCCCTATTCTCAGCCAAACTTCCTCTGAGTAGCCTTATCCATAGTCTCCACTTCCTTTCCTCCTCAGCTCAACCCTCTGCTCTCTGGCCTGTGTCCCTGCCACTTCCCTGAAATGTCTCGGGCAAAGGGCACTCAAGGCCCTTTATGATTAGCCAAGTCCAGGCCTTTGACCCTTGCCTGGCCTGACTTGCATCCAGTCACACTATGAGCCATTACTGCCTTTAACGGCTCCTTAGCCCCCTGTCTCTCTGGTCTCTCTGTGGTCCCCAAGTCCTTAGGCCAGTCCAGAAATGAGAGCATTACCCAGACTTCTGACCTTGGTCTTCCTGGGTTTCCTCTGTGTCTCTTAGGAAAGGAGGAGCCCTCCCCTCTTTCATCCAGACAGTGCCTACTTGCCTTTCTGCTTTATTTCAGGTACCCCCTCCTCCAGGAAGCCTTCCCTGACCCCTCAGACTGGGTTCTGCTTCTCCTCCGTTTCTCCTGGAGCTTAATGTGGGTATGGTGGCACTTAGCACCCTGCTTATTTACCAGTCCCCTCAGCCTAACAGTGCTGGAAGGATAGGGTTATGACAAAATACCCTGTGATCTAGGACAAAGATTGCTTTCTCCAGTTCAGGTGAAAGCCACACTCCATAATGAAGGTACCTCCACCTGATTGTGAGTCTTTTAGTAGATCATTCATTTCTCACTGGGTCTGAGGGCTGTGAAGTCTGGTATAGTGTCTTTTGTGAACAGAAGGAATTAATTTAACTGTAAACAATTAGTAATTGTCTCCATCTTCTGAAAGGAAAAACCTCTGAGAACTTAAGAATATGAATTGCTTCAGAAGAGCTTCTGAAGACCTGCCTGGCCTGGTAACTTGGTTCTCCACTCCCTTGTCCCCACCCCTAAGCCTGTTCCCTGAGCCTCACATTTTGTGATTCCACAGTTCCGGGTTTGACATAGCAACTGCCTCCGTGACGGAGAGCACCAGCGTTCTCCCGGGCTCACCTGTGCTTGCCCTTGGAGGCAGCAAATGGGCTGAATGCAAGACAAGCCTCTGCCTTTATCTCCTTTTCTCCTACTGTTGTTATTTAGCCGCTGAGTCACGTACAACTCTTTTGTAACCCCATGGACTATAGTCCGCCAGGCTCCTCTGTCCATGGGATTTCCCGGGCAAAAATACTGGAGTGGGCTGCCCTTTCCTTCTCCAGGGCATCTCCCAACCCAAGGATTGAACCCATGTCTCCTACGTTGCAGGCAAGTTCTTTGCCACTGAGCCCTTTCTCCTGCTGACCTGGAGTGAAAAAGAAGAGGTCGGCAGAGACAGCAAAGCACACACAGCTTGCATCTAGAATTTCAGTGAGGTCTTAGGCGGTTAATGTCACTAAACTCTCATGCTTTGCTTTCTGATGTCTTTTTCTACCCTTTTGAATTCTTTCTTTCTGTCTTTTCTCTCAGTTCCAAATCCACTTTATCTTTTTTGGCAGGTGAAACAAAGACGAGAAAATGTTGAATCACTTTCTTCTCAGTAGCTTGATTTTTAGAATCTTTTTTGATTTATTTTCCTCCCTGTGTTTAGTTTTCTGAGCTTAGCAGAGCAAAAGGAGAGATGCCTTTGACTAAATGGAACTCTTAGCTTTGTTACTCAAAACAATGCTGCAGGTTTTACTTGGTCTTTTTGAATGTAGTGTTGGGCTGATTATTTTCTAAAAGAATAAAGAACTATGAGACTGTTATTCTTTTTTTTGTTGTTATTTATTCTTAATTTTAGACACCTCTCAGATGAAGTAAGACTGCCTAAGTGTGTGTGATAATGGACTGAGTCTTGGCCCCCATATTACTGTCTCGAGAGTTTGTTGTTATCAGGATGAGAAATGCTTGCACACATGAGCCCCACTCTGTTGATTCCCACTTATGATTATTTCTGGTGTCCAAAGAAGACAATAGGATTACGGATACTCATATAGGAAAGGATGCAGAGTTTTCCAGTGTGCCCACTGGTGAGATGCCAAGTCCCCTTCTTTTTTTTCTTTTTGGTATGATTTTATTTATTTATTTGTGGCTGTGCTGGGTCTTTATTGCTCGGCAGACTTTCTCTAGTTGCAGCCAGCAGGGTCTGTTCTTCATTGAGGTGCATGGGCTTCTCACTGCACTGGCTTCTCTGGTTGCACAGTGCAGGCTCCAGGCCCACAGGTCAACTCCCCCTCTTGTGTGCGGGACCCCTCTGTTAGCTTGAGAACATTCTTCCTCACAGGAAGCTACAATCTCTGACCCTCTGGATTTACTTAGTCTTTTCCACAACATATAGCATATTCAACCTTTTAAGTACTTGAAGACAGCTATTTTCCCTCTTGTTGCCCAGGCTTTTCTCTGTAGACTATGAATGCCTAGTTTCTTCAGATGTAACCTCCTTCCTTATTCTCCATATTGTGATCTTGGTAGAGCATCCCAAGGTCTTGTTAGCTTTTTCTGGTGGCTCCACCTCTTATTGAGCTGAATCTTAGCTGAAACCCACCCTCGTGGAACCCACCTCTGAGTAGAGGTTCTAAAATGTCTATTTAACAGAATATTTTTTTTAATCTCAGTAGTCTTATGTAACAGTAAAGCTTTTTGTTACACTTGATAATGTTGTAATATACTTTCCTTTAAAAGAAGACAAAGGCTTTTAAGTCCTAGGGTGCAGGTTAAATGCCAGCAAGGCCAAGGAATTTGATTTTTCGCCAGAGGAGGTTTAAGCTAGTTCAGTTGGGTCTGATGATGAAAGCTGGCATTGACTGTGCCCTCACAGCATGCCTGCCGCTGGGTCGGAGCTGTTACCCATATCATCTGGTTTAATACAACGACCCTAGTTAATAATGATATCATGACTAGCAGATACTGTTGTTGGCCTTATTTTAATGATGAAGAAATGGAGTTTTAGAAGGGGTAGGGACTTGCCACATGTTTCACATACTGTGTTTAGTTGCTCAGTCATGTCAAAAGTGTGACCCAGACCTTGAGCTCTTCCTGCTCTCTGCCACCTTTCTGCTGGGCAAGGCTTTATGTACAACACCCTTCTCGTGTGCTACATGTTTAGCTTTCTGATCTTCTTAATTAAAAGGTAAATTTTAAAAAGAAAGAATTGAATGGTTCTTTGCAACTCACCAGGGCATCTTGAAGAGTGCTCTGTACATGGTGGGTGCTGACAGGTTAGTTCTGTGTCTCCAGGCCTAAGAAAGAGACTATACTCTATGAGGTCTTCAGTCTGGGGATGACTGGGACCACTTCAGTCCCCAGAAGTCCATTTTGAACCAGGCTATCCTGGTGGGCGAGGCCTGACTGAACTTTTGTGTGCTTTGGACAGCTGGCTAGCACTGACCAGAGGGATGGGCGTGGCTGTCGGGCTTCAGGTTGGACCAGCAGTGAGGACTGAATACGGGGATCTGGTGTCAGGTCAGTCCTGGTTCTTCCTTGCACACTCGCCCTCTGTGAGCCACAGGGTCCTCCTTTCCTAGGAATTGGGAGGGAGAGAAGTGTATGAGCGGGGAGTTGGTTACTCCACGTTTTTCCCCTGCTCTCTTGGAGGTTAGAAGAGCCCTTTCGGTGTTGGAGCGTCAGTTCTTATGGCTCGTTTCCCAACTCCTCACTTGAAACACTGACCCGGTGGGAACTACGGGACTTTGGAGGCTGCTATTTCTCCTCCCTCAGCCCCTAAGGAATTGGTGAGTTGTATACCATTATGATAAACTTGGGGTAAAATCAGAGCTCTTTAACTGAGCCTGGACTGAGGAATTAAAATACCAGTCTACCCAGGCCCTCCCCCCTGCCAGTTCACAGGACCCAAGAGTTTAGGAACTGATGTTAATTCCCCTGTGGTCTGAGGACAGTGGCTCAGTTGAAGGCCTGCTTTAGGCCTGTTGGGGGAGCACAGGCTAGGCTTTGCCAGTCTGGTTTCTTACAATCATCGGATCCTGCCTGCATGTGTCTCTTGGCCTCAAATGAACTCTGGAACTGCCCACTGCCCCTGTGATTCAAGGTATAAATGCTGTAGATGGAATGCTTTCGATAGGCCTTTATCGGTCAGAGTCCCGACAGGAAAAGCTGATATTCTCAATTTAGAATCATGGATCCTAACTAGGTTCGCCTAAAGTGGTGTGGATAGCAAGTAGAGGAAATCTCCAGGGACAGAGCAATGGTGAACTTACCACCCCAGCTGCAATGGGAGAAGTGGATGGAGTGGTCCTCAGAAGCAAGAAGGGCTTGTCATCCAGAAGAGGCCACCTTGAGAAGAGCAGTGACCTCTGGTTGAGGAGTACAGCTGGCAGAAGTAGAATATTCAAATTGCTAACCTCACCTTTTCCTCACCCCACCCTCCAACTCTGTTGCCTTCCCTGGCCTCTTTCTGGGACTCTGCTTTGGACATATGTGGGGGGCTGTTGATGGGATCCATAGAGATTAATCTGTAGGGGTAGGAGCAAAGTAGGCGGGGGTAGAGAGTGCACCTGGAGAGCAACAGGAAGATAGTTGACAGAAGGACCACGTGACTTCACAATAGACAGAATGTGTCTGTTTAGTGGAAGGTGGGAAAAAAGGATAAGGTAAGCATTTCTTGAGCATCACCGTTTACTGGGGATTTTCTCCTGACCCAGTCATGTTGCAGGGGTGAGTAGGAGTGTTTCCATGTTATCGAAGTGGAAAACTTGAACCCAGGTCTCTTGGCCCTAAGTCAGCTCAGTCCTGGTGATGCCTGTGGTGACAGATAGTAGCCAGGTAGCCCTCACGTCTGACTTTCTCTGAGCCCATTCCAGAAAGCCGCCCTTCGTGGCGTCACTGGAAGAACTGGGGGGACTGTAAAAGAGCTGCTGTGTGCTTTTTTTTCCCTTCATGTCTATGAACTTGAAGAGAAGGGGAAAGAAGAGGGAAAAAACTCAACTTGGCATGAACGATGTTAACTGAGATCAAATAAGGTGAAAAGCAAAATAGAATCCAGAAATTTAGTTTTGCTTTTACCCGAGGTTTATAGGCGGCTGCTGTACAAAGTCCTTACTTTCCACAAATGTTAAGCACTTTTCATTACGTGAATCTCATTATATTTTACTTTTGATAATTTATGAAAAATAGGTTTATAAAAGACAACCAATTGAACATTAAGGTTCAACTATGTGTCACCTTTGTGTGATTTCATTTCTTGCTAATGTACAAATTATTACACTTATAAGTTAAAATTATTTTGGTTCCTGGTACGTCATTGTAAAATTATTTATTGAACAGTCAACAATAAAGTAGAAATTTTAAATTAAAAAAGAGGAATCCTAACAGCCAAAAAGACAAACCTTAAACTTTTCCCCCCTAATTTTTATTATATGCATGCATAAATTTTACATGGCTAAAATTGTACAGGTTTATATTATTGTCACTATGCATATGTTTACAGGTTGCTATATGACCTTCATGATTATTTAAATAGTTTAATTTACCTTAAACATTCTCCTACTTGTTGGATATCGTTTACCCTGCTTTTTGCCAAAAAAGATTGGCAGTTTTGTCGAACATATAAGTGGTTTATTTACTATTATTTTTCTTTATAAACATTGTTCATTTGAATCTTCCTGCATTTAATTTCCTCACCCTCTCCCTCTTTTGTTCTTTCTGACAGAGGGAAAGGAATTGTTATTTTTTTCAGAATAATTTCTCAGAAGTGGGATGGGCAACTCTGAAGGTATATCAAGGAACATTAAATATAGTAATTTTAAGGGTCTCTGAGAGAAGCAAGAATACAATTAAAATGAGTCATTAAGCACAGCTGTTGCTTAAAATGTTAATGTGGAGGATTTTTATTAAATCCTTGGTTTAAAAAACTACTGCTAAAAGAGGAATTATACACCATTTACATTTATATACAAAATTTAGCTGAAACCCTAAACTGTGATTAAGTTTTAAAAAATTTGTTCTTGGCTAAATTGAATATAGTGTAGTTCTGAACAGATTTTTTTATTTGATTAATGATATTGGCCCCAGTTATCCTGCAACTCTGGAATATAGCACTGGCGTGGGAGTCCCCTAGGCTACTCCCTGGGAGGCGTGCGTCCCCTCCCTAACCCATTCTGCTCAGCCTGGGGGGCCCGGCCATTCCATCTGTGCACTCTTTACAAAGCTGGAGCCAATCGGACAGAGGGGCTTCCTTGTCTGGGGCCCTTGTCCTCCACTAGCCTTCCATCGACCACAGCTCCGCTTTCTGGGACAACAGACAAGTTTCTTCCACTAGTCAGGAAAATTCAGACAATTAACGATTCTGGTTTTCCCTCTGTCCTTAGTTCCTGGCATAGTGCCTGGCACATAGCAGATGCTCAGAAACACATTTGCAGAATGAAATGTCTTGAGACAGCCCTTCAGATGTGTGAATACAACCATGATGTCCCCACTTAGTCACCTCTTCTTCGGGTTTAATGTCCTCTAGGTCAGCCATTCCTCAGGAAAGACTCCGGGTCCCTTTTCCTCCCACCCGGGTGCTCACCATCGTCTGTGGCCACAGTTTGTGGTCAGTCACTCTGTTAGAACACATGGCCAGGTCTGCAGCCTGTCCTCCAGAAGTGGTCTCGCGTGCAGACAGGCAGTCAAGTGTGCATTACTTTTTTTTTTTCTCATTAGCAAATCGCTGGTTGCTTACATCTTTGCACGTGATCTGCTCTCAGGCCTGGCCTCTTCCAAGAGGTGCTTGTGCGATTGAGTGTTTCCTTCTACTATCACTTGGGACTTGCGGAAGGTTCTTCAGTATCTTCATGTGAGTCATCAGTAAAAGTGAGAGACAGGGGCGGCCCACGAAGAGCTCTGTGGAAACCTCCCTCCATGTGGACAGTAATCCCCTAATCCTCGGCTTTTTTGAACTGTGGCGTGCATACAGATGACCTGGGGCTTTGGCTAAAATGCAGGTTCTGATTCAGTAGTTCCGCGTGCAGCCTGAGATTCCATCTTTCTAACAAGTTGCCAGGTGATGCTGATGCTTGCGCGTTGATCAGGTCATACTTTGACTAGTGAGGCCCAGTTTTGGGGAAGAGTTGATGAGAAAAAAATCCTTCTGCGTTTGGATAGCTGTGCTGTGCCCATCAGATCCCTGGGAAGATACTCTCTATTTCAGATTCTCGATCCCTTATTCAGAGGTTCCTCTCCTACCTCACTAAGTAAATGAAGAAAACAACAGTGGTACTGTTTTGCCCTCTTGCCAGTGGTATGTACCTCTCTGTGTATGTCTGGTTGGACCCTTTATTCCAGCCTGACAGGCTGTTATCCAACATATTTGGTGTCTTTTCAAGTTTCTCATCTTCAGGACATTTAATAAAGTGCTCATGGAAACTGAGCACTTTAAAAAAGTTTTTATTAATATGGTATAGCTTCATATACCAGAAAGTTACCCAAAGAGAAGCTAAGTGGATACTTAGTTTTTAAAACATTGGTTATAAGATACAGTGTTCCTGATAAAATTCTTTTATAAGAAATATTATAGAGCATCTAATTTTTTTTTTTTTTTTACTCTACTGGAATTTGGAGAAAATGGATGCATTGTTGAAATCACATTCCTAAGCTGAAAGAGCCTCATGTAACTGGTGGCGTTTCAGTAACAGATTAGCAAGTGAGTCTGGAGAACACCGGGCGGGGAGGTCATGAGCACCTGACCCCCCTTTTCTCCAAGTTTTTACTCTCTCAGCTCGTGGAGCCGGTACTTTTCTTTCACTCTTTGTTCCAGACAGGTAACACTGTGGCCAGGACTTTTTTGGTCATTTCAGGGGATGATTATTGTGTCAGAATTTAGAGAAAAAAAACTATTCACACTTATTTTGTAGAACTTACTGTGACCTGACCAGTAAGGTGTGTCTTAGTGTTAGGGATTCTCTACCTCCTTGTGAGATGAACTGTTTCCCTAAAGCCAGAGGATTCAGCTGAAGTTCTTGACAGAGATGTTTTGCTTTGAAACATTCTACATCCCTAAAAGGGTGGACGCTTCTCGCTCAGAGTTTGTGCTTAGAACATGACTAACTTTTCTTTCCTGAGCAGGCCTCAAGGATGCAGTGTTCTTTTTTTTTTTTTTTTCCAAACATTGACAGACTTTATTGTGGGGGGGTTCCCACCTGGGATCCCACCCCCTTAAATAAAAAAGTGCATAGAAAAGAAGGGATTTAGAAACTTTTGTACAATATCTACATCCTGGGCCCCCAGGGCAAGAAGGGGGCGATTGCTGGGTGGGCTGGAGGGGTGGAGGCAGGGCCCTCGCCACCTGCAAGCTGCCCTGCAACTGTGGATGCAGTGTTCTTGATGTGGGAGCTTATCAGAGTCACTTTGAGGTTGCAGCCTACCCAGTGCCTTCGTTGTGGGCAGTGTAGAACCTGAATGGTGCAGTTATTGCAGCACACGTGCATGCATACGCATGCTCATGGAGTCCTGCAGTCCCTTAAATTTGACCTATGTAGCACCATTTCCTTTTTTTTCCCCCTCGTGGAACAGAGGAGTTTTTTTTTACTTGAAAAATAGTTGATTTGCAGTGTTTTAGGTCTATAGCAAAGTGATTCACTTATATAAATGTGTCTGCATGTGTGTGTATATATGTATATGTATAGTAAGAGAATGATATTCAATATCTAATAGTAACCTATAATGAGAATCTGAATATATATATATACACACACACACATATGTATTTCCTTGTACTTTACAGTAAGTCCTTGTTGTTTATCTATTTCATATATAGTAGTGTGAGTCTGTTAATCCCAGATTCCCAATTTATCCCTACTCCACGTTTCCTTTGTTTGAAAATAGTAGGTATGTCCACCACCCTAGAAGGCGTGCGTCCACTGAAAAACCAAAACCCCTCTCTTCCTGGGCTCTTAAAGCCCCTAAGCCCTGAGTTCATCACTTGAGCCAATGGGGGACAGAGGTGGAGCGACCTGTTGCTACAGTAGTTCACCCATTAATCTCTTCCTTGTCCGTACTGCTTTTCCGAGACAAGTCGGTTGCTGCCCTGTTCTTTCAGCAGCTCACAAGCAAGCACAGGTACAGCAGTGACTCTGCTTTCCCTTTAATACTTTTTTTAAAATTTCAATGATTTTCTAATATATATTACAAGCCTCCACTAAGCCATCGTGCAGCCTCCACAATGTCAGCACCTTTCTAATCTTATTTCATTTCTTTCCCATCCCTTATTCACCCTCTTCCTTACCCATAACCATACACGGTCTTTCCCCTGGCCCGCTGTCTTCTGGTCTTTGAAAGCAAATTCCAGATGCCCTGTCGTTTCATCCGTAGTACTTCAAGTATTACATGACAGAGAAAGCTTTTTAATTGAAGTCTAATATACATAAAGAAAGATGAACGTAAGTGTAGAGGCTGGTGAATTTTCATAAACTGAATGGGCCTGTGTCACGAGCACCCAGGTCAAGCAGCAGAACATTACCATTACGGAGCTGTGGACTTTGGTCTTTTCTGGATAAATTCAGTGTTAATCTCCAGCTTGTCCTTCACTAAATATTCTGAACCTATTTTGGTGCATAATTGAAGCTTTTATGGTATGTCTACAATTTAATTAAGTAAATGTAAATTTTCTTTTCAGTATATAAAATAGTTTGACTAATTCTGGCTTAAAGAGAAAAGTATTATTAGTCTCAATTAGTTGATTACTTCACCACTCTTGATGAATGTGTTTGGATAATTTTGACTCCTAAATACTAAAAACAGTGTCTTCCAAACATATCCTAAGAGTTAAATCCCCTAAGTAGACATTAAATTGGGAAATCCTAATCACAGAAGAAAGACAACAGTAACAAAAAATAAAGCCTCAACATTGAAAATGATCAGACTGCTTTCAATGAAAAATAAGCAGTAATGCTCATATTCAGTCCAAGTTGAAAAGTAGTGACTTAAATGATTTATTAATGATTGAAAAATAGTACAAAATAGTATAAATAGTAAAAAAAAAAAAACCTATGACTGTAGTACCATTAATGTACCTAAAATTAGTAGTAAGTTCTTTAATGTCATTTAAATAGTATATTAAAATCTTCCTTAATGCTCAAAAATGGTTCTTTTAGATTCATACTTTGGTTGATGGCCCATGTAAAAATTACTAAAGATTTGGAAGATCTATTTCTTAATCTATCTTTTATCATTTTCATATAACCACTGCTTTCATAGAGTGCTTATTCTCTGTGCTTGCTAAGTTAATGACAAAGCCAAGTGTCATTTCAATTATAATTATTGAATCTTCGATTAGAAGAGAAGATACTTTAAAAATCGATCCAGCCAACTTTTCCAAACCTATACTCACTTGGTTTAGTGCAACAGGCAACTTACAGACACTGCTGTAGCCCTCTTCTGCAAAGTCTTTTGTATTTTTCTGGATTTGCCTCTTCCCTGGCAGCATTTCTCATCTTACTTCCATACATTCTCAAGTTTTATGTGAATTCTACTCTCTTATCTTCCCATTATCATGTAGACAGCTTACCTTGAGGTTATGTGATTCTCCTTCCACTACTGAAAGGAGCCCTGCTTGGTAGGGGGAAAAATGTCTGGGTTGAAATCTCAGTTCTCCCATATACTGTGTGACCCGAGGCTGTGTGTTTAACCTCCCCGATTATTTATAACATGTTTAATTCCTTTTCAGTGGCCTGCATCAAACAATACCACAAATTGTTTAAAATATCCAAAAGTTCCCCAAATTTGTAAGCAGGGAGGAACAAAATCATTGGGTCACTGCTTGTCTTTCCAAATTACAACTTAGGGAGCCAGGGTGGGAGGCCCCCAGATGCAGAAGTTGGGAGAGGAGAACCAGGAAGGGAGATGGTGAGCAGTATTTACTGAGTGCCTGTAATTGCTTTTCCACGTGCTCACTTGGACCTCGTGACTGCCCTGGTGATTTTATGACCAGTGTAACACTGTGTCTGCCAAGGTAGCCAAGTGGTTTAAAGAAATAGTCTGGGTTGAAATTCTTGCCTTGCCCCTCTGTGACCTAAGGCAGGTCCCTGGGCCTCACTGTGTCTGATTCCTTGTCAATAACAGGGAGGTAATGAGCATCTGTTTCATAGGGTGTTGGTGAGGGGTAGATGAAACTAATGTGTAATGTGCCAAACACGGTTTCTGTATGTAATCAGCGTTCAACAAGGCAAAGTGCCGCTTATCCTTTACTTCTTTTTAGATTTAACTCCCTTTTTGAAGGAAGGCTGTGTAGTTTTTAATAGCTTAATGATTTTTAAATTGTGACCACAGATTTAGCAGATTTTTCAGCAATTGCAACAGAAGTTTGTCAAGTACTTTCCTCTCCTGTAAGTACTTTCCTGTCAAACTTGTCATCTTGAAACCCTCTTACTTTCTGCAGTGTTGACTGTGCCTCAGAATATATTTGGACTTCTTATTACTAATTTTTAGTGTATAGGTGTCGTTTTGCTAAAATTACAACTAGGAGCAAGGTGAATTTTTACATAATTAAATCTATTCAACAAACTTTTATTGACCACCTACTATGTGTCACCTGGAGAAGGCAATGGCACCCCACTCCAGTACTCTTGTCTGGAAAATCCCATGGACGGAGAAGCCTGGTGGGCTGCAGTCCATGGGATCGCTGAGAGTTGGACACAGCTGAGCGACTTCACTTTCACTTTTCACTTCCATGCATTGGAGAAGGAAATGGCAACCCACTCCAGTGTTCTTGCCTGGAGAATCCCAGGGACGGGGGAGCCTGGTGGGCTGCTGTCTATGGGGTCGCACAGAGTCGGACACGACTGAAGTGACTTAGCAGTAGCAGCACTATGTGTCACCTACTTCAACACTAGGATAATAGCAGTGAGCAAGTAAGACAGGGTCATATCCCTATGGCATTTGTCATCTAAGGAGCAAAAAGCTTTCACCACCTTGGATTTTGTAAAAAAAACAAAAAAACAGTGACAGCACTAAATGACATTGTTAAAACCACTGAAAGGAAAAATGTGAGTTTTGGAATATTTTATAGATATGTCCAATACTTTCTGATACAAGGTCACATCCATAACATGTTACTCAAAGAATGACAGATGCCTTTTTTATGAATAAAATGAGATGTACTGAGGAAAATGCTGATCTGTATCCATGCAATGATGTAACCAGCCCTTTAAATTCAGATTTGAAGTAAAACAAGGAGCTCCTTTATTTCTTCTCCGTTTGTGACATTGGAGTCACTCATTCATGAACTTGAAATCGGAAGCACAG